CGTTGCTGAGGTGACTACGGTGTCTTCCTGTGCGATGTATCCCTGGCTGCATGGAAGTGGGATAACGTTGGAAATGGGAGCGTGCTCCTGGCTAGCCCTTGCCGTTCCGTGGTTTTCTCTGGCAAACTTAATCTCGTTGTCTTTTAAACCTGTTTTGTTCCTGCCTCTGTGGTACCCTGCAGCAGCAAGTTCTGCATGGAAAACGTTTTCCGTGTGTTTGCTTTAAGCCTGCCAAGCGTTTTTATTAGAGCTCCTACCCGCTCTGCGCTCCCCCTGGCGACAAGTAGCCAGACAGCGATTGGGGTACTGGGGGTGGGCGTCCGCTTTACAGCAATGTCTGTCTGAATGGCGCTGCTGGGAGCTGCGTGGCTCTTCTGTGGGATTTACATCCACCTGCAATTGCTTCCTGTGCAGAGGAGCTCGGGTCTGGGACGGCTCCTCTGGTGGGATTTTGAACCTCAGGGTAAACTCTTGCTGTGGGATATGTCATTAGGGAGAAGGTGCTTTGTCACTTGACTAACCTGAACCTGGAACTTCTGAGCACTTGAGAGAATTTTTTTTTTTGGCAGGTTCCCATATAGCATTCAAAACACACCATAAGCAATTTTACTTTATCTGCAGGTCCCCTCTGCGGTGAGGTCCTGTGTCACCTTGTTTCTCACACTCCATCTTCTTCCCCTTTCAGGCAGCAACTGAGCTGGATGCCGACAGACGGGCATACGCAGGTGAGGAACAGGGACTGCGCCCCGACGTGTGTGAGGGGTCCTGCTGTGTGTTGCCCCCTGACACGGATGTGCAATATGGCCTTGTGAGAAAACATGGCTTTAGTTGCCATCCTTGGAACAAGCTGCCTGGAGCAGCTGTGAGAGCCACTGACCCCCCCTTTGCAAGGTGCTGGGGGGTCGGACAGCCCACTTTGGGCCTGAGGGAGCTCCTATGGGGCAGCATGTGGGGAATGTGAGGAGTGGGAGGGGTGTCATGGGTTGGGTGGTGGTGCAGTGCTTGGAGCCAGTGCTAATGTCACCATGGCACAAGGTGTGGGTGGTGGTTGTGCTTCTGCTCTGATCCCTGCCCTGCTCCCTGCAGTGTGGGTGTCTGAGATCATGCTCCAGCAGACGCAGGTGGCTACAGTGATCAACTACTACAACCGCTGGATGCAGGTGACTGTTCCTCATGGAGTCCTGTGCCCAAAGGCTGCCCCTTTTGGAGACCTTGTTTGCTGCCTGTTGCAGATCCCCTGCTGCAGAACACAGCTCTTGCTTGTCCCTGACTTGTCCCCTTCCCTCTGTACCGCAGAAGTGGCCGACGCTGCAGGCTCTGGCACAGGCGTCCCTGGAGGTGAGCATTGCTGGGGCTGGGTGCTCTCCCTGCCCTCGTGGCCCTTCATCTAACACCAGGCTGTGTCTCTTGGAGCAGGAGGTGAATGAGGTGTGGGCTGGACTTGGCTACTACTCAAGAGGGAAGCGTCTGCAGGAGGCAGCAAGGAAGGTGCTGGGGAGTGGGGTGCATTCCCGAAGCCCTCTGCAGCCTGTGGGTTGGTGCTGGCTGACACTTGCCCTCCCTCGCTGAGGCTGTGTCCGGCTGGCACAAGGCTACAGAGGCTGGATCCTGTCTTACCATGGGTAAAACGATTTGCACACACACGCCTCAGCTGCTCCTCTGACCTCAGCCCTCTCTCTGCCAGGTGGTGTCTGAGCTGGCTGGCCAGATGCCCAGGACAGCTGAGGACCTGCAGAAGCTGCTGCCGGGAGTGGGCCGATACACGGCGGGAGCCATCGCGTCCATCTCGTATGGACAGGTGAGAGCTGGGCATCAGCGGACACATCTCTCCTCTCTGCCACCCAGCCCTGCTCCTGGTGGGGTCCAGCTGATGTGTCTCACAAGCCAGGAGCTCCCCAGAACTGTGCTTGGCTCTGGCTCTCCCCTCTATTGCGGTGTGTCTCGCCCACTGCCCAGGTTGGCCTGTGGGTTGGCCTTGTGTGTGTCCCCCTTCCATCCTGGGAGCACCCCAGCTCCCTGCCTTGCTGGGAGCACAGGTGCCTCCCGGTGCAGTAATCCCTGCTCCCGGTCCCAGGCTACTGGTGTCGTGGATGGAAATGTGATCCGGGTCCTGTGCCGCCTACGGTGCATCGGTGCCGACTCCAGCAGCCCGGCTGTCATTGACCGGCTCTGGTAAGGGGAATGCTCAGTCCCTGCTCCGAGCTGCAGTGATCGTGGCTGTGCCTGGTGCTGGCTGAGGGCAGGATCACTTGGGAGCCGTGGGGAGCTGAGCTGGCAGAGGGAGAGAAGCGTGGGGTGTGGGAGCTCTTGGGAGGCTGATGCTGCTGGGAGCAGTGGAGAAAGGAGCCGTGTTGCCTCTGCCTACCTAGGAGCATCCTCCCTTGCAGGCAGGAAGCAGGCACAGGTCCTGGGACCCTCTCCCCACAGAGCCCTGTGCCGCTCACTGCTGTTTCTCCCAGGGACATGGCTAATGCCCTGGTAGACCGGAGCCGCCCGGGGGATTTTAACCAAGCCCTGATGGAGCTGGGGGCAACTGTGTGTGTGCCCAAGGCCCCGCTGTGCAGGGAGTGCCCTGTGAAGCAGCACTGCCATGCACGGCACAGGGTAAGTATGACCCCAAAATCTGGCCCTGAGGGGTTGCCATGCTTAGGGACAAGGCAGGCTGGTGGATGAGCCTGTCCTCATTCCTGTCCCCCCTTGCAGGTGGAGAAGGAGCTGGCCTTCGCCTCTCAGAAGCTGTTTGAAAAACCCGCCCCAGTGCCTGATGTTGAGGACTGTGGTAAGCGCACGGGGAGGTGCCTGTGGTAGCCCCAGGTATGGGTCCTGGGGCGACTGTTAAATCGATGTTTGCAGGTGTTGGGGGCTGTCCCCTGTGCCCCCCAGCCACGGAGCCGTGGGACAGTAGCCTGGGGGTGACCAACTTCCCCCGGAAAGCAGCAAAGAAGCAGCCGCGGGCAGCACGAACAGCCACGTGTGTGCTGGAGCGGAGGGGCTGCCACGGGGCCCTGGAGTACCTCATCGTGCAGAGCTCGGGTAATGGGGCTGGGCGGGCAGGGGCAAGGGCACTGTGTGGCCCCTTACCACTTGCGCAAAGGATAGAGCAGCCTGGGAGAGGGCTGCACCAGTGATGTGCTTGCTGTGGGGATGGGGAAAGGAGCCCCATGGGGCTGTGGTGAGGCTCGGTGTCCTCAGATGTGCCCCTTGCCGGCTCACACTCCTGTCGTGCCCCCTCCCCAGGTCTCCTGGCTGGGCTCTGGGAGTTCCCAAGTCTCCCACTAGCTGAGGGCCTGCAGGAGGAGAAGCAGAGGGAGGCGCTGGCAGATCACCTCCAGGCCTGGACAGGGCGGCCCGTGGTGGCCAAAGGCTTGCGGTTCATCGGAGAGGTGAGCGATGCAATGTTTAAATCCCTGTGCTCAGCCACAGGGGCAAAGCACAGGTCTCCCTTCACTGCTGTCACCCCTCCAAAACCCTGCCCTGCTCCTCTGAGCCCTGGCAGACTCAGTGCACTTGTGGGGCAGCTGAGCAGTGCATCCATCCCCTGCTGCCTGCCAGCTGCCCTTTTCATATGTCTTCCCATCCCCTCGCAGGTCATCCACATCTTCTCTCACATCCACCAGACGTATGTGGTCTACTCCCTGCCCCTGGATGAGGACGTGACCCTGGTCCCTGCCTTGTCCCCGTCCCGCTGGGTGACAAAGGAGGAGTTCTGTGCCTCTGCGGTGTCCACGGCTATGAAGAAGGTACTGGGGCGTACCTGGGCCTTATTCCCTCGATCTTCCTGGGTTCCTGGGAGAGCCTCTGGCATTCCTCTGTGGGCTGTCCTGGCTCCAGGACTGGGCTGCAGTTCAGCTCTGGGCTCTCTTGTGCTTCCTTCAGGTGCTGAAAGCATGTGAGAAGCAGCATGGGAAGGAGAGCAGCCCTGGCAAGGTGAGCATCACTGGATGGTTGCTGTGGGCCACCCTCTGGTCTGGGGTGCTGGACCCACCCTGGGGTCTGGGGTCAGGCCAAGGAGCATCCCCAGCCTGGGCAGGGCTGTGTTTGGGGGACTCGCCTGGCTGGAATTGCCCCTGGATGTCCTCACTAGCAGGGGCCCCTTGCCCCAGTGGGGGTCCGTGGAGGCCATGGGGGCCCTTGGGGTTTGGCTTAGCTCTGCTGTGTGCCTCCTGCAGGGTGCCAAGCGGAAGCGGGGGGCAAAACTGCAGGGAGCGGGCAGCACCAGCTCTGGGACGCAGCTCTCCCTCCACACTTTCCTCCGGGCACAGACTGCCCTGTGACAGCACCTTCCATGTGCGAGACCACCAGAGACCCGTGCTGCGGTGAGTCCTGCCTGTGGTGTGGGGATGGTGTCCCCTATACTGCTGCAAGCCTGGTACACGGCCCTGTAATGGTCTCCTGCTTCTAGCGGAGTCCAGTGGCTT